ACTAAATGTAATGTGGTATCCTGAATGAGATCTTGAAATAGAAGACATTAGATATAAACTAAAGAAGTCTGAATAAAGTATAGACTTTAGTCAATGATGATATATCGATACTCGTCCATTAATTGCATCAAATGGACGGTACTTTTTACATAAGATGTTAATAATAGGAGAACTCTCTATAGTATCTTTACGATTTTTCTGTAAATCTAGAACTGTCCTAAAAAAATAAAGTTTATTAAAATATTAAAAAATGGAAACAAGCCAATACCGCATATACTTTATTATGATCAATATAAACATTGTCCAGTGTTAATATGCTAGGATGACATTTTCCATGGACCCAATGTTATAACCCCCGGGTCTCTCAGATGAGGCAATTTCTAGCATCAAGGTCAAGTAGATTGCCTTTCTTAAACTCTATTAACTGCTTATATTCATGCCTGGTTGTAGTTTGCTTCATGTGTTGTCTGTGACTTTATTGTTCGGAATCTGTTTTTTTCTCAGGTTTCTAATTGTCATCTCATTTTGTGTAGTCTAACCTGTGGTATTTTCTGTCCAGTTCAACCATTAATCTTCCCCTTTCACTTCTTTACAAATTTGTTGAAATTTCCAATCCATTGGTTTCTACACCTTCCCATCACACACTTTTTTTTTTTTTGTACTTGTTTACTTTTATTTTAGCAAAATCCTAGTGGGGAGGTAAAGCTCACTCTTCTGTCTTGAAAGAGAAGCTTACTTCACTTTCCATACAGTTTCATTATCAATCCTTACTAAGAGTGAACTAACTAGCTGAGATCTGTCTCAAAGGACGGAAAAGTCTATGGCGTCATACTCTGGCCAATATACAGTCCTTAAAGAGAAAAAAAGTAGTGTATCTGACCAATCGATAGCCTTACTGTCACCTGATCTTTCTAGAAGCACCTTATTCTGATCAATCCAATCCTCTCATACTCGTTTTTAAAGAAACACATAATTGTAGGAAAATGAGCTATTTTAAAAGAATCTTTTAAATCTTTTTAATTTAGCCCTACAAAAAGCACATGTTACTTTGCATTTTCTTGGTTGAGACAAGTGGTACTAAAAGAATCACAGATAGGAGTTACAGTTGTCAAGTTTTGAAAGGCATTCCCAGATCACCTAGCTCTAATCCAAACCCCCAACTTTTCACATGAGGACAAGACCTAATGAAGTGAAGGTACTTATCCAAGGCCACTCCATTAATAAGTAGGAGCAAGAGAACTAGAAAATGAGTAAGTTTAACCCAAGGAGCTTTCTGATATGCACCTGAGTCTTAAATAGTGGTTTTCCTCTTATTTCTCTAGGCTGTCCTGCTCTCCAACTACATCCTTTTCAGCAACTAAAAAGAGGTTATAACTCTACATACCACTCCATAGAGAGAAGGGTGGGATGGAGTAAGAGAGAACTACGTTTAGGAAAGGGTCTGTCCTTGCATTTTCCAGGGATCCCAGACACTTGCCCTGGCTGGGATCAGTAAACAAAACTCACTAACTGTGGGGACTTACCATTCCCCCTTTACTTCTTCCTTTACCCCAAACCTGCCTGGGAGAGGGAGAATACAGATGGCATGGTCTGGCTCTAGCTGTTTTGACAAAATACATGCGCTGTCCCTAGGAAGTAATGATCGCTCTTATAGGGGGTAGCAGAAGTTTCTGTTTACATAGTATACTAGTGTCCCCAAAGTTTTCTTATCACCTAAATATTCCTTCTGATACAAATTATTTAAAAAGCCCATAATTTTATGATGTTTAGTTTAGTAATAATATGAGGCAAAGAGATTTTTTTCCATACTCTTTAATTTCTTTGTTATTTTTTGCTTCAGGAACCTAGAGAGGAGAAAGAGAAATGTTCATAGTACATTTGACTGTTCGTTTAATTTTCAAAGCACAAAGTAATGAGGAAGAGGTCCTAGTCCATGTACTACAATTGGCAACTGTTAGTGTACTTCTAGAGGATGTAACTGGAGAGCCTAATAACAAAGCTATATTCAACCATCAAAAACCATGGCACTAATATGCTATAACTATTCCTCTGAATCCCATGTTGAAAATGCACCATTCCTTCCTAGGACCCAGCTCCATGATACACTGAGAATTTACCTTGGCATGCCTCCACTGATTCTCATCAATTTATTTGAAAATGGAAGAGGTCAGCTGTGATTCAGTAAAATGTCTTTATTATGAGGGAGAGCCCTCGTCTTGCTTAGCAACTTCTCTCTATTCTTCCAGAGTCTTGTCTTCTGAGTTACATCTTGCCAGAGATTTAGAGGGTTCAATAATAGAAATTTCTAATTTTTTGCTTAAGAATATTGGCAAACGTGAGTTTAAAAAGGAAGTCCTACATAAGAAAAAAAAATTATTTTTGAGGCTGAAATGAATATTAGAAATTCTCAAAATTTCTAATTGGTTTCACCCTCAAAACCAACAAAGGCCTAAATAAGGATGATGAGGTAGCCACATAAAAGCTATATAAAAATAAAAATATGTGATTGAGATGCAATAGCTGGTTATCATAAACTTATTAATAGCATGGAAATTCTATTAATGAGTGTTAAATATTGGTGTAAAAATGTTGGGGAACATGTTAGGAGATCAGCATATAGACTGGGTAGTAAATAATCTTAGGGTGCAACAATTTAGTTACATTGCTAGGTTAGTCATATCATTTGATATATAACACATCTCTTTTAATGAACCAAAGAAAATTCACAGAATGAGTGAAATGTGGATTATAATTAAAGTATATCGGCACATATACATCTGGAGTTTGGATCCAAGCTCTGGAGTGAGTTGAGTGCAGTGGGGATAACAATGGTGGCCAATTCATAGGGTCATTGCTATGAGGATTAGATAAAACAATCCATTTAGCACAGTGCTTGACACATAGTAGGCACTAATATATGTTTCATGATTACTCTTTAAAAACTTTTGTAGATTCCTCACTTATAGAAAAAATATTCTGATATAAATGGTGAGCAGAGATCTGATGTATTTCTGTTTTTCTGCACTTCCCAATTGAGTCACATTTTTAAAAAGGGTTTAAAATGGCATTTAAATTTCAAAGTCACTGCATGAGGATACATAAATATAGGAAATTCTGTTACTCATGGCAATAAGAAAAAGGGGTGTTTTGATTAATTCAACAATTTAATTAAAATTCAGTTAACAATTTCTAAGGAATTGACTATTGTATAACTCAATGCAAAAATAGCACTAAGCTATTTAATAACACTATTTAATCTTTTTTTCTGTTGCTGTTTCAAAAAATAATTTATGGACTTATTAAAACTAAAGATATTTGCCCTTTAGAAAACACTATTAAGAAAATTAAAAGGCAAAACACAGATTTGGAAAAAGTATTTGCAATGCACACATCTGACAAAGGACTTGTATCTAGAATTATAGAGAGAGCTTTCACAATGCAGTAATAAGAAGACAATCTAATTTTTTTTAAACGTGCAACACATTTTAACAGAAGCATCATAAAATAAGATGTAGCAATGGCCAAAAGCTCCTGAAAATATGCTCAACACCATTAGTCATCAGGAAAATACAAATTAAACAATAATGATGTACTATTATTCTTTGAGAATAATACAGGAAGGGCAAACAACAAAAGACAGGGGAGTGATGAAAGAGAAGACTCTTCTCATAGTTCCCCAATAGAATGGCTAAAATTAGAAAGACTAACAAGTCAAGTATTGACAAAAATATAGGGTAGCTGGAACTCTATCACTGGTAGAAATGTAAAATGATACAACTACTTTGAAAAACAGTTTGGCAGTTTCTTATAAAGTTCATTCCCAAAACAAATGAAACCATATATCTACATAAAAACTTTTATACAATGTTCATAGCCACTATATTCATAATAGCCTAAAATTGGAAAAAATCCACATCAACATGTAAATGGAAAACAAATCATGGTGCTTCTAAACAATGGAATACTACTCAGCAATAAAAAGAAAAGAACTGTTGATGCAGACAACTGCATAGGTGTATCTCAAAAACATTACGCCAGACTCAAAACGAGTACATACTATATAATTTCACTTATATGAAATTCCAGAAAATATAAACTCACCTACAGTAACAGATTAGTTGCCTGGGGTCAAGGTAGGGGTGATTATAAAGGGGCATGAGGACATGTTTTGAGGTGATAGAAAGGTCCTCTAGCTTGATTGTTGTAACAGTTACGTGGGTAGATAATTTTGTCAAAACTGGAATTGTATACTTTTAACGAGTTCAGTTTATTATATGTAAGCTGTATTTCAATAAAGTTAATTGTATAAAGAAGCAAGGATACAGTTTATCTTTAAAAACATAATCAGAGAAGTGCTAAAAAGTCATTGCAGAATTAGTAATAATAGCAAAGAATAGGAATCAACTTAAATATTTATTAACAGATATTTAGTAAAATCAATTATGATGAATCTACACTATAGAACCCTGTGCAGCCATTTAAAAAACTGAGGTAGTTATGTATGTTTGATATGGATATATATGACATGTAAAGTGAAAAGGTAGGTCACTCAACAGTATGCATAGTATGATCTCATTTGCATAAATATATTCCATATAAATGTACATATAAATATACACATATGTACATATAAATGTACATATAAATATACACATATGTACATTTATATGCCAAAAATTTCTGAGGGGCCTACACTGGCCTATTGAGTGTTTAACTGAGGGGGTAACTATGGTGTGAGACATTTACGAAGGCACTTTTCATTTTCCCATTTTTTAATTTTGAGTCTTTATAATTAGCTAGTTTTACATGCTTAATCAGCAGAAACAATAGTGACACATCCGTGATGAAAGGCAGCTTGGGGTGGCCTGGAACACCAACCATTTTGTCCTCTCCAAGTGGAGGAATGCTGATTAATGGGGATTTCTAGTTAACTGGATACCGATAAGCATGGATTTACTCTACATTTGGGAAGGAAAACACTCTGCTCATTTTTTCCACCAATCGCTTCTCGGCCTTTTGGCTAAGATCAAAGTGTAGTATCAGTTCTTCCACCAACTGGCTAAAGAAAGTATGTTACTGAATTTGTGGAAGGAAAAATAGAATGACCAAACTTGGCAAGGCAGGTTTTCATGCTAACCACTTTCTCTATCTCCCCCCAAAAACGAATCAATATCTTTTCGTCCGGGCAAAAAACTCTGAGAGTACCTGCCTCTGCCACACTTTATGATGACACACTGAGGATAAAGCTGATAAAGAGCACTGCAGCACAGCTTTCTCCACGGATCCTTGGAATCCTCAGGAAATGACTATTTTGACAACCCAAAATGTTCAGATGAAACACCCAAGATTCCCCTGACTTAACAGACAACCTCAGGGCAATCCCGAGAAACAAGCTCAGTGTCACCTTGTTCTAAGAAGAGACTTTCAAAATCCTGTCACTTTCATGCATCTTCTCAACTCTGCAATTAAATATTCTCTTACTGTTTCCCACAGTTCCCCAAGTCTAGACACTATAATTATCATGACGATTTCTCCAATGTTCTAATTAACAGAGAATGAAAAGCCCAAGAAGAGGAAAGCCGGGACCCCGGGACCTGAAGTCAGTAGTCTTATCTGTCAATGCCAGTGAGGGAATTAGGCAAATATAGAGGAAAATGAGTCATCTCTTTCCTCACTTCCCTATCTTCCCTTGTTTGCCCTTCCTGTGTTCTTCACAAAGGAACATATCAACATTTTGCTTCTACTTCTCCTGCTCCCCTATTTAATCTTTCTACCCCACATGGCTCTGCACGGGCCCATCTCGGCCAGCAGAATTCATTAAACTGTCTCTGCTGCAGCAAGACATTGCGTTTGCAGCGTATTTTAGAAAATTTTGTTTTTATGAATAAATTATAAATTTGGGAGTGGGAGGAGCATGTTTCAGTACATTTTTACATGACCACCTACCTATATGCGAGCAACCTGAAATTACTTAAACAGGGCCCAGGTTGCCAATTTGGGACAGGAGGCCTGGTAAAAACATATCTCTGCAGTCTCTCTCTCTCTCTCTCTCTGTCTCTCTCTCTCTCTGTCTCTCTCTCTCTGTCTCTCTCTGTCTCTCTGTCTCTCTGTCTCTCTCTGTCTCTCTCTCTCTCTGTCTCTCTGTCTGTCTGTCTCTCTCTGTCTCTCTCTCTCTCTGTCTCTCTCTCTCTCTTTCCTCTCATGCTTTAAGAAGGGACCTGGTGAGCTTAACAGCAAAGCCACTGTATTTGGTCCAGTGCTCCACCCTCATTCAGCTACCTCAGCAGTGAGTCAAGGAATTCCAGGGAAGCCCAGGTGCAGCTCTGCCCAAGTCAGGGCCACTATTCATAAAAAGGGCTTGATATTTACAGGCAGCTGCAGGGCGTTTAGCTAGGGGCTGAAATTCCCTAGCAGTTTACTTCTGTGGGTTGAGCCACCAGGCCTTCTGGGAAACTCACACCCAGTATCTTATTACATCTGCCTACTCATTGTCACCTCTTTTCAATTCTGATTTTTTTTGTTTCCTGTCCACTTTTCTCTTTGTCTTTAAAGAGATTTGAAGATGTTAGTGGTGAAAAGGGGGCCATCAGCAGAGGGGAGGGGAGGCTCTGAACAGATAAAGGAGGTTTCTGTATTCTCTGTCACTCATTTTACACACACACACACACACACACACACACAGAGCAAGCACTCAGAGCTCTGTGAGACACTGAGGACCAGGGCTCCAGGATAGCTACCTGCTGGGACATCCCTAAAGATGATATGGACCACGAGAGAGACAAAGAGAACTGCCAGTTCCCTGCGCTGCCTCGACCCCTGACAGCTAGCATACCCCTGGTGATTCCCGGCCCCTGGTACATCTCCAGACTACTTGTTCCCTGTCACAGTTCTCTTTCTAGATAAATGGCTAGCCTTTCTGAAAAGGCAGATGGATCAAAATGACTTGAGGTTATCCCTTTCTGATAATAATATCATTAGTATAATATTTAACAGTTTACAAAGCCCTTTCGCTTATACATTATCTTATTTAAGTCTCACTACAACTCTGTGAAATAGGTTTCATTATTATCCCCTGTTTATAGGTAGGGGAATCTGAATTCTGACTGATGAAGCAAAGCAGGCATTTGATGGTTTTGGGACTGAGTGTAAATGCAAGTTCCAGAAATCATTTTCTAAAAACTATTTTTAATATAAATTGCCTCGTCCATAGTCCCCTGGATCAGGAAAGTTGCATTAGGCTGGTGTCTGTGCATCAGTGACCACTGAGTGGACTGGAGGTGGGCACCTGGCCTTAGGCAACCTGTCTATCAGTTGGCTAATGGCTCATGAAATGCCTTAGGCAAAGAACTCTACCCAAAGAAGCAATGCCAATGAACAAAGTCATTTGGACTAGCTTTCTCTGGCATTTGGTTCGAGGAATTGGTCTGTTAACAGAGAGGAAAATAGAGTGGACACATTATAAAAGAAAAGCAGAAAGGTCACAAGAGGGAGATGGTATGGACCATGAGAGAGACGATGACAACTGCCTGTCCCCTGAGCTGTCTCAATTCTTGACAGCTTTCTGGTTCCAGTTTTACATCTGTGATAAATCCTCTCTTTCCTAGATGGCCTCAGTGTATCTCTGCTCCTTGAAACCAAAGGAAGCTTTCCACTTTCCACTCTGCCATAATCTTTGCTGACTTACCCCAAAGCAGTGTCTCCTATCAGGTACCCGAAAGGAGGAGAGATGGGGCAAGCAACTCTTTCAAATCCCATTGGAAGGTGGCTGGTCTTATTTCCAGATTTTCTGCTGCTGTCTTTTGCCTTCTGACCATAAGTCAAGGATCTTGCCAAGCCAACAAGCTCCATTCATTGCAGTCTCCCCAGTTCAACTGGTGAGGCAGACAACACCCAGAATACTCCACTGAATCCAGGAGGCCTCCTGGCTCTTTGAAGATCTATTTTACAAGGATGAAAATATTGGAATCAGAGAAAGTAATCCATAATAAGGTAAACATGCAATTTTTATTTAAATTCTGAGATTGTGAAAGAGTCACAAACAAAATATTTTTAGTAAGAAAATACTTTTGAAATTATACTACAGAACAATGTAATTGCCTTAGAAAATCTGTTTTGTAAATACCTCTCTGTGACTAAAAGATGTAATATTTGGAGAAAGGGAGACAGCTGGAGGAATTTTCTATCTCAAGAAAAGACTTTCCTCTAGAGGATATATTTTCCATTCATCTAGATCTTATAAAAGAAAGTGTATTCTGACATACTACCTGAAAATAGTTTTTGTAATTTTGCTTTTTTTTCTCTTCACTTTTTTCTTTTCTTTTTCCTTCAGATATAGTTTTTTAAAAAGTTAATCTCCATCATTTTTATTGTGTTCAGACGTTGGAAGGAGCCACTCTCTGAATACATCTTACCAGTCTTAACATGAAGCACTGGAATAAGCACCCCAGGTGTTTAAATCAGGGCACTTCAAAAGGTAGCTGGCTCTGCAACCCCAAGTACAATAGTCTAGAAAAATAAAATATGACTCAGCTTAAATTTGTGGTAATACCTAGTGTTTCCAACCAGCCGTATTCTGACATGAAGCAGAAAATAGAAAGCATCTGCAATCCTTGAAAACCAAGGTATAAATTGCTAAGCTCTTATTTTTCATTACCAAGGCAGTAGGGCAATTAATAAATTAATTAGGGACGTGTTTAGTAGCAAATAAAAACAACAGGGGAAAACACCTAAGAGTGAAAGATTCAGCAGACTCTCAGAACAGTTAAGTAAGGGCTGACATGAGCCACGAGAGATCCAGGCCCTTTCTTTAAGATTCGACATCCTCAGCAAGTGGCTTTCCTCCCCACGGTCACAAGACCACAAGATGGCTGCTGAACTTCCAGTTCAAAGGTTCAGATTCAAGGCAAGAAGGAAGAAGTGGGGAGGGAGAAAGAGGAGAAAAAGAGTGCCAGGCGAAACTTTCCCTTTAAAAAAGTTCTTTCCAAAAGCCCACCCAGTAATT